AGATAATATTACTGAAAACAATTAATATACAGTACGAAATTATAAAAATTATAGGCAGCATTATTGAAGCAATTATTTTAGGTAGAAAAATCGAAGGTGACATTGTACCCTTATAGCAGATACTATATATTAATTCATTCTGAATTTGTTATACTGTTTAAAATAGTTCAATTTCCAACACGTATATCTTATGCTACAAACCACAGACGATTAAATTTTTGTGTGATAAATTTGGAAAATCAATCAAAGTTTTAGTCGTGAATAAACAAAAAATCATTCATTTATACACCTACATCTACACAGGTATGACTAAAAATATTGGATAACCTTTGGCATTAAAATAAATTGAGGTGATGGAAATAAATTTGTTCTTTAAATTGCAATGTATAATTTTTAATATACAATTTTATTGAACATATTTTAATATTTGTTAAAGGGATAATTAAAGTGTTAACTGTGGGAATTGAGAATCATGATTTTATTTGAAGCAGTTCTAGATTTAACATCACTCATGTATTTGTGTAAATAGTAAGTAATTCGAAAAACAATGATTATTTTTAACTGAACGGTATAAATATTAGTATAGGATATTAAAAAAAACGTAGATGTGGGTACAGGACAACGTCTATCGGGTCATCTAGTATATATATATATATATATTATATATATATGAAGTAATTACCTGTAGGCGTTATCACTGCATTATTCTTGACAGGTTTACGACTATTACACCGAAGACCCCGTCTGCCGCCCCCTGTACTCATACGAGCCTACAAAATACATTTTTATCAACACAAATTATTTTAACATAAAAAATGAATTTCATCAGTCATTTATCTTACCACAGTGGCTGCACAAGGCATATGCTCAGACCCCATATCATCACTATCCCCTGCACCATCAGGGCCACTCATTTCGCCGCCACTGTCCGAGAGCCCTGCCAACATTTGTAACATCCTCCTCTCGTCGTCATCGTCTTGATGGCCCTTTCGGCCCTTGTTCTTGTCACTGTTAACGGACAACAATTGTCTTTTTTTCGTCGAATTATAAACTGGAAGGATTTGTTTTTTGCGTCTGCCACGCGGACGACCCTTTAATTTTGGTGCTAGATGGTTGCAGAGCATTTCGTGGGTTTCCAGATCGGGGTAGGAGAAAGTTTCCTAAAAAACAAAAAAATATATGTTAACTCTAATCGTCTCTATTAAAACGCAATGTTCTCTTGATTATTTATTTACTAGAATTACACTAAGTTCTCTATTATACGTATTATGCTCTCTACCCTATATATTATGTTCTCTTGTTTTGCTACACTACAAACGTCGGCCTACAAGATTCACGCTGTCATTAGTACCATTATATAAAAATATGTCATTTATATAAATATTTTATCTTCTTATATATAAAAATGTAGCTCGATAAAAGGATCCTACGGCTAAACCGATTTGGCCAGTCTTAGTCTTGAAAAATTCGTGCCAATCAGTAGGTTGTCGGAAAGGCGAGATATTATTTCAAAACCGCGTAAAGACTTTACATTTTTAATTTGAACATTTTTGTAGAAGCGTAATTTGAATAAAACAATGGACGGTGGCTAATACGTCAAATGTCAAACGTTTTTGCCAGATGTTCAATTAGGTTTAACAGGATGTTTTACGTGAATATTATTTAATTATGATTAAATTGTAGTAAGAGGTTTTGTTTGTAGTTATATTTATATACAAAAACGTTTTGACGAAAACAAATTGAGATATATTTTGAAAATATAAAACGTTGTAATACAGTTATGAAATTATAGTATATTATTTCTTAATATGTGTACTGAATTATAAAAATATAAAATCACATATGTTTCTAATAAAAGAAACTAAAAAATTGCAATGCACACGTGCATACTCTATTTTTATTAGTTGCGAATCGACGATTGGATATAATATGAGAAGCACTTTTGAAAAATGTTTTTAAAATATACAATATTATACTAGAGCTATAAAGTTTTAGTATGTTATTACCTAATATATGTACTCGATTATAAAAATATAAAATCACATATGTTTCTAACAAAAAAGCTATAAAAGTGCAATTTTGCAAACAAATGCACTCTTGCATATCTTGTTTCCAATAGTTGCAAGTCCACGGTTTGATGAGTATTTTAAAAAATATTTAAAAATATAAAAAGTTATACTGGAGTTACAAAATTTTAGTATGTTACTTCTTAATATGTGTACTAAATTATAAAAATATAAAATCACATATATTTCTAACAAAAAAGCTATAAATGTGCGTGTAGACAAATATAGCTTAAATGCACTATTTATAAAATGCCACTTACAGCTTGTCAGAAGAGTTTCTTCTTTTTCTAAAAATGTTCAAATTTGCTGGTCATAAAGTTGAATTGTTTATAAAAATGTCGGAATTTGCTAGTCCGAAATTTATATTTTTTTTTGAAAAAAATGATAGAATTGCTATCAAATAGAGTTTTTCTAAAATCATAGTCATTTTTTCCCTAAAATTTTAGAATTTGCTCGTCAGATAGTTCCTTTTTTTTCAATGAAAAAATATTAGTATTTGCTCGTCAGTACAGTTCTTTATGTTTAAAAAATATAAGATTTTGCTCTTCAATGGAGTTCTTTTTGTGTTTAAAAATGTCAAAAATTGCTTGTCAGCAGAATTTTTTTTGTTTTGGAAAATGACAGAAATTGCTTGTCAGTAAAGTTCTTTTTTAAATATCAGATTTTGCTCGTCAGTCTTTCTTATTTCCAAAAAATATCAAAGTTTGCTCGTCAGTAGGGTTTGAAATGTGTTATTTGTTGTGATATAATTGTTATGTTTTTCACAATATAATTTATATTTGCTCAAAGTCAAATTGGACCTTTGTGCCTCGCCCTGCTTTACATATATATTTTTTATTAAACTTACTTTAACTCATCTAATGTTACTTGAAACTTTTAAAAAAGCAAGACAAAGAAGAAATACTTAATTCATTTTCTATCTCTCCTCGCAAAAATTTGAAAATTTTGTAAAAGCTCAGTAATATAAAACTTCCAGTTTGAATGTATTGACAAGTTATAGACAAACTAATGGGATTTATTGTTTTTATAATACCACATTGTATATATCATTCAAACCACACATCCTTATACACATAAAGAGCATTAATATTTTTGATTCTCTAGAAACTGTTTAGAATATGCCTTACTTAGCAAAACAACGTTCGCCGGTCAGCTAGTATATATAAATATATCTATTATATATATATATATATATAAGTCGGGTTTTCCTTCCTGACGAAATAACTCCAGAACGCACAAACCGATTTCAATGATTTTTCATTCGTTGGAAAAGTCTCTCCGTGAGGCTTATAGCTAAGAAAATTAGTTTTGCATGGCATCGTGCCTTAATGCAAATTGCTGGAACTTCACGCACCGTAATTAAAAATTCGAGTAATGACATTAGTGACAATTATCAGAATTATGCTTGGTTCAAGTCAACGAGCAATTCTTGCCGCAAAATATAATGATGTACACGCACTGAATTTCACCATTCAATCAAAAATTGCTGGCGATTTGGTGACATACCAATGACTCCGACTGGTCTTCCGTTTGACTTTAAACGATTGCAATTTCCAGTTCGCAATAACAAGTCGCAAGACCAATCGCTTAGTGTTTGCGGGATAAATTTCAAATAGATTATTTAGGAAATCATTGTTTTTCACATGGGCAGTTATACGTTGCCTGTTCACGAGTTGGAAAACCATCCGCTTTGTTTGTGTTAACGTCAGACCAAAAAACAAAAAATGTGATTTACCAAAGAGCACTTCAATGAAACGGATAATTTGCTGATTCACTTTCATTTACTTAGAGAAGTTCTACTAAAAAACACTTCATTTCTGTAATCGAAATAAATTCATTACTGTTGTGTAATAAAATCAAATTTTTCCTTTTCAAATATAAAACAAACAAAAAATTTCTTCATCTTTCTCACGAAACCATCTGGTGGCGAAACGGAGTTCGTCGGGTTTGCTAGTAAAATATATATAATATAAAACTGGTTGTTCTACTTACCCTGCAAAATAGTATCTTCGTATTCCTGTCATCAGCAACGTATCCTCCCAGTGCCTGTATCAGAGCATCCTGCATCTCCGGACTCATCAGCAAACTTTCCGCCAACGCCTTATTAACATCCTCGACACTTTTATCATCCTCACTTTCCGTCTTAACAATTTTACTTTTATCATCACCATCCTCATCGGAACCTTCTTGTTTTAATTGACTATTACTGATTTGTTTGGCAGTGCTTTGTAGATTTGTGCTATCCGACGACGACGACGTTTCGATTTTGATGTTCTCCATTTTCGTGCAAACTTTCTCGAGTTTGACGTCGGACTGGAATTTTTTCGAAGGTTCTAATCGTTTTGCTAAGGCTCGGTGCCGGCAGTATCTCGAATAGGAGAGGACGACCACTCTGGAGCTGGCGGTGGAGTTTGTTGAGGTTTCTTGAGGCTCCGCTGGGGAAAGGAAATATATAAGTAAAAAAACTGTAATAAAAATGTGGCCTATGGGGGTAAATTAGACCCTAACACAGTGTTTTGAAGTATGAAGCTTGCAACTTACAAAGGAGTAAATTGATAGTTAAGAAACTAAACTAAATTTGAAAATTTGAAAGATCTCAAGATAAAATCTAAGATTAAGTAAAAAAAATGTGCATTTTTAATAAATACATTAATGAAAAAAAAGAGTGCGTGTAAGGTACACACTCGATTGAAGTAAAACTTATTTGCTACTGTACGATATGGCATTTAAGTAAAAATAAACAAATCATATAACCATTTTGAATAATGCTTATTAGTATTATGACAACACTCGTGATGCACGCACTTTAAGTGCGTAATCATATTAGTGTTTGTCAACCATTATACACATTTATATAATGATAAATTATAAATTATATATTTATGATAGCATTAAAAATACGTTAAAACAATAATTTAATTCAAGTCATACTTCAAATATGACACGGTCGGTTTGTCATTGTAATTAGCATTTAGAAATGAACGTTCATTAGAGAAATGAAGTAATTGCTGATTAATAAATTCTATAAGATTCATTCACCTAGTGGATTATGCTAAACAAATATTGTTTTCACAATTTCACTCATCATCATATAATATTTGTGTTTGAAGAACTTCATGTAATTAAAATTAACATACATTCATTGACTGATGGTATTTTTTTTTACTTTTTCGCTGGCAATATAATCTCATTCTTTGAACAGCCGTAATATCTGTCTTGCCTAAAAATATTTTCAATTTTAATGACTTCAAAGATTTAGAGAAACTGCAAGTCCATTTTTGATTTTATTTTTAGTTTTGCTCGTCAGTAGAGTTCCTTTTTAATGTTATTTTTAGATTGCTCGTCAGTAGAGTCGCTTTTACCTTTAATTTTTAATTTAATCATCAGTAGAGTCTCTTTGAATTTTATTTTTATTTTGCTTGCCAATAGAGTTCCCCTCTCTTTTTTATTTTTAGTTTGGTCGTCAGTAGAGTCCCTTTTTATTTACGAATAATATAGAAATAATTTCTAATCAATGAACTTGCGTTTAGTACACGGCACAAATGTTTAATATGTTTTACTATTTTCAAGGAACCGGGTAAAATATTCTTCTGATTCAGGCATTTTTCATTAAATCAAGATTTGTACTATGATGTAACTTTATAATGTTTATTTATCTATCTATGTCGATTTCCTTGTTGATATCGGTCCGCATACAACGACAGATCTCTATTCACACGACACGACGACTAATCACAATCGACCCGTATAGAAATGATTTCATCGAAAGCGAATGACGCGCAGTTCTGCCGTAACACATTTCCGTTGCATTTGTACGGATTTACACCCCAGTTGTGCCTAAAGAAGTTTTACTTCAAAAATATTGGTGCGGCTTTGTAAATTTGTTGAAAAATCCCAACTAAATTTTCCGTGTCAAAAAATGAAAGAGAAAACAAGAGCTAGAAATAGATAAAGAGAAAAAGAGAGATATAGTTGTGCTGTGTTTCGCAAAAGAACTCTACTGACGAGCAAATTGATAAATGTCATATTCAAGGTGGCTACAAGATTTGAATAGTTCTCGTCGAGACCTTTCATTTGGTACCCCACATGATATATTTGACGTGACAAATTGTTCGGCAACCCAATGGTCTACCTTTTATTAAATCTCTTGCAACTTTTGAACCGTTCGTACGATTAAAACAAAATATTCGGCAAATTTGTTCAAAATTTGACAATCTACAACATTGTCTAACATTATAAGGTGATGCTATATTTTAATAAATCGATCGATATTGATGAAAAAATTAGGCAGTTGGACTTCTGTGATATATATATATATATATATATATATATATATATATATACATATATTATGCAGACAAATGAGTTAATGAAATCTCGCATTACAAGGCCGTTGATGAGTAACTCAATGTAATTAAAGAGAAAAGAATTCATCAACATTGTATGTATGTATGTATATGCATATTTCAGTTAGCAAAGGAATTCACTTTGCTCGTCAGTAGAGTCCCTTTTATGAAATTTTTCACGTCTTAGATAGAGTATATTTTTCTATTTCTACAGATTTTGCTAAATCAGTACTCGGATACCTAAATTATTATCTGCCGAGTAAGTAGTAGTAGGTACTCGGTGGTGTTTATAGTTCCAGCATCCTGTTAAACTATTTATAGTTTTGATAGTTAATTCGAATTCTAGCTAAAATTAGATCGACTTTATGTGAATATGCAAAATGAATGGAGACTAGATGACGCACGCATTTTCGATATCGAAGAAAAAACATGGAAAATAGTCTCTATGAAAAAATGATAGAGGGAAAAATGATAGAGGGAAAAAATGATAGAGGGAAAAAATGATAGAAGGAAAAAATGATAGAGGGAAATAGAGATAGAGAAAAGGCTACAGAGAAATGAGATGAAGAACTAGAAGATGAAGAAAGAGGCAAAAAAACAGAAAAGAGACAAAAACAGAAAAGAGACAAAAAAACAGAAAAGAGACAAAAAACAGAAAAGAGACAAAAAACAGAAAAGAGACAAAAAACAGAAAAGAGACAAAAAAAAAAAAAGAGAAAAAAAACAGAAAAGAGACAAAAAACAGAAAAGAGACAAAAAACAGAAAAGAGACAAAAAACAGAAAAGAGACAAAAAACAGAAAAGAGACAAAAAACAGAAAAGAGACAAAAAACAGAAAAGAGACAAAAAACAGAAAAGAGACAAAAAACAGAAAAGAGACAAAAAACAGAAAAGAGACAAAAAAAAGAAAAGAGAAAAAACAGAAAAAGAGACAAAAAACAGAAAAGAGACAAAAAACAGAAAAGAGACAAAAAAGAAAAGAGACAAAAACAGAAAAGAGACAAAAAACAGAAAAGAGACAAAAAACAGAAAAGAGACAAAAACAGAAAGAGACAAAAAACAGAAAAGAGACAAAAAACAGAAAAGAGACAAAAAACAGAAAAGAGACAAAAAACAGAAAAGAGACAAAAAACAGAAAAGAGACAAAAAACAGAAAAGAGACAAAAACAGGAAAGAGACAAAAACAGGAAAGAGATAGAGTAAGATATAAAAATAGATGAATAGAAATATAGAGACACAGAAGATGTCTCTCTTGAACTAAGATAACAAAAATGAATTATTTCATGTTCAAATAAATGTATTTTTAAGAATATTTGTAGTAAGATAATAGCTAGAATTCAAGATAAAAGCTAGAATTTAAATTTACAACTTAATACAGAGAACTTCAATTCCACTCTTCCAGGATTTGGATAAAAGTTTAGATGCTGATAAGTTTTTATAGTTTAAAATATTACAGTCCTAGGAGAAGTTAATTTAACCCTTTTCACCCGGATGCCAAATTCATTTAAATCTCGGAATTCGCGAGTGGAAAGGGTTAAGTTTCAAAAAACAGATCGCGCTATCATTTTTAACTCTCTCATCCAAGCACAAAAAGCAGAAGCAAGCGCTTAAACTGACTGAGCTATCGACATTGATACTATTTTTCAAAACTTTAATTAATTTTAAAATAAACCTCTCTCATAGGATGTTTTAAAATTTAAACAATTCATTTTGACCGTCAACTCTATCACCATTTAAAGTTTCATCAGAATTCAAAAAGAGTAGACCAGAGGTCACCCTTGTGGACCTAGGATTTATCTTCACTGATTTGTTTCATGTAAACCTAACACCTATATACATGTATAATATGCATATGCATATATATAAACAAACCAGTTTATATTACACTATACACACATGTATACGTATATACATTTGTATAAAAATTAGACATGTATGTTGTATGTATATATATACAGTAATATGTATTATGTATATATGTATATATGTATATATGTATATGTATCCGATGGGCGACCACGCAAAGTAATAATCAGTTTTAGTTCGTTCACAGACAGTTCTAGTGTTCTAAGTTTATCTCAATAGCAAAAAACTACAAAACAGATTAAAACGTATGTGTAATAATAATTATAATTATTATTAATATTAATTAATTAATATATGAATAGTGCGGGGGTTGTGGAAACGCTAATTGGTATTGCTTGTTTTTTTTATCATTAAACTAAATGTATTATTACACTTCATAAATTTAATTTATAGCTTGTATCTATCAATTATAATTTATCACTAGTATCTCTCTCTTTCTATCTATTTATGTCTCTTTCTATTTATTTAACTATCTCCCTCTTTCTATCTATGTCTTCTTTCTATTTATTGACCTATCTCCTCTTTCTCTATGCCTCTTTCTATTTATTTAACCGATCTCTACCTTTCTATCTATTTATGTCTCTTCTATTTATTTACCTATCTCTCTTTCTATCTATCTATGTCTCTTTCTATTTATCTACCTATCCTCCTCTTCTATCTATTTATGTCTCTTCTATTTATCTACCTATCTCCTCTTTCTATCTATGTCTCTTTCTATTTATTTACCGATCTCTCCTTTCTATCTATTATGTCTCTTTCTATTATTTACCTATCTCCCTCTTTCTATCTATGTCCTTTCTATTTATTTACCGATCTCTCCCTTTCTATCTGTTATGTCTCTTTCTATTTATTTACCTATCTCTCTTCTATCTATCTATGTCTCTTTCTATTTATCTACCTATCTCCTCTTTCTATCTATGTCGCTTTATTTATTACCGATCTCTCCCTTTCTATCTATTTTATGTCTCTTTCTATTTATTTACCTATCTCCCTCTTTCTATCTAGTCTCTTTCTATTTATTTACCGATCTCTCCTTTCTACTATTTATGTCTCTTTCTATTATTTACCTATCTCTCTTTCTATCTATCTATGTCTCTTTCTATTTATCTACCTATCTCCCTCTTTCTATCTATTTATGTCTCTTTCTATTTATCTACCTATCTCCCTCTTTCTATCTATGTCTCTTTCTATTTATTTACCGATCTCTCCCTTTCTATCTATTTATGTCTCTTTCTATTTATTTACCTATCTCCCTCTTTCTATCTATGTCTCTTTCTATTTATTTACCGATCTCTCCCTTTCTATCTATTTATGTCTCTTTCTATTTATTTACCTATCTCTCTTTCTATCTATCTATGTCTCTTTCTATTTATCTACCTATCTCTCTCTTTTTACCTATTTATCTCTCTATCTATCCCTTTTTCTCTCTATATTTCTATCTATCTATTTTCCTCTCTCTCTCTTTTTTATATCTTGTTTCTTCTTCCACTTTTTCATAATAAAAATTTATTTCAACAAATTCACCAAAAATTTATTAAAATGTAATTAATTTTTATTTTTTAGATATAAGGGTTGCGGTGAAGGGTGAAGTGATATAAGTAATTTATTAAAATTTTATAATCTGACAATTATAAAAGCCTTCTGTTGTTTTAGTAAGATATTACAGAGTGCTTAATCGATAACAGACTTATTCAACATTTTTATATTTATAATTAATATTTTTATAATCAAATTAAAATCTGCGGTACTAAACTATATTGTGTTAAAATTATTTATTTAACTGTATTAAACTATTTGTTATCTCTTATCGAATCAGTAGTTTTTATATTTAATATAAGAATACATTAATCCAACAAAGAGTACTACAAACCCCATAAAAAAGAGTTAACAATAAACATTAATACACAACAAATGCAATTCATTTACCATTCTGCGGTTAAAAAATCCCCATGACTTCTCATATATTCAGGTTTTTCCCTACATATATATATTATCTCTATTTTTTTTTTTCAAGGATGTTTCGACCGGCCGCCGCACTATTCCTCCTTGGCCTTACGCTCTCGAATTTATGCTCTGGCCAAGAATGGGGCCTAAATTTGATATCGGACGACCCAAAAAATAATATCGACGAGGAAAAACATTTAAAAGTCGTCCAATTTAAGGACAACAAGCCCGAAGACGACGCGGTGGAAATTTCCGAATATTTCAGGTTAGTAAAATAGAAATATGTAAATAAAAATGAAAAAATAGTAACTTTATTATCATTGGGAAAAGAGGAAAATAATAGGAAAAAGAGATAGTGATAGATATAAAGAAATATAGATTTATTGCAGAAAGACAGAGAAAGATATAAAAGGGTTGAAATATATGTATTAGAGAAAGAGAAAGAGTCAGTAGAGTCCCTTTTTCCTTGCAAATTTACAACAATCCTTTCAGAAATCAGTTTGCTCGTCAGTAGAGTCCCTTTTTTCTATAAAATTTATATTTATAGGAAGAGAAAAAAAAGCTAATTTGTTTCGTAAGGGACTACGTATTTCATAGAACATACTTTGTTCATGAACCTAAGTACACAAAAAAACCAAACAGTAGCGAATCCTTCCGAATGATTCCGAGAAATAAAAATAGGAAAAATATTAACGTTGAAAGTAAATCCTTTTTATGATGATTTTGTGTTGTTTTAGTGTGTTGTGATAGAGTGAGATAGATATATAGATAGAGTGAGATAGATTAAGATAGGTGAGATAGAAGAGTATGAGAGAGAAAAAGAGAGAGAATCCAAAGACACTTAAATAGGTATGGGATAAATAGATATGGAATGAAGAAAAATTTAAAAATTTGAAGAGATAGAAAAAAATAGGTAAAGGAAAAGCGTTAGA